AGAGGACAGACTTGGACGTCTTGCTCCTGTGCATGTGGTTGGCAGCCTGACCATGGTGGTCACCCAGCTGAATCTGGAGTTTCGCTTCCAGGGCAAGAAGCTGCGAGGCTTCAGCTGTGAGCTTACCCGGTCCCCCCACGGGGTCTTCCCTGAGACTGTCTTCACTATCATTTGCCAGATCGTGGTGCCCATTCTATTCTCAGGCTTGGGCATGTTGACGGCCGGCCTGGTGATGAACATCATCCAAGTGCGTACTGGGCATATGATAACCAGCATGGGGCCCTGGATGGAGGGAGTGGGGAGCCAGGCTCCCTGGGGATCACAGATAGATTGGGAGAGCCCTGAGCCTGGCCTGATGCCCAGGAGTCCCGGGCTCAGTGGTGCCAGCCGGAGGTCCCTCCAGAGGCCTCAGGTCTGAGATCCATAGAAGCTTCTGATGACCCTCTCCAAGGTCAGCCCACATGAACAATGTTAGCCTGGGGAGCTCAAACCATTTTCCTTCCAGGGAATGCAGGTTCATCAGGCAGGGCCTGGAGGGGTTCAGACTCTTTGCCTATTTGCTCACTATGTGAGGGAATTCATTAGCCTCCCCTGCATCAGCTTCCCCACCTACAGACAGGGTTAACGAATGCACCTACCTCACAGGGTTGTGAGGATGGGCGCCCGAGTATGCCTCATGCTGTGGCCCTGAGGGTGATGGGCACTGTTCCCTCCAGTCCCCAGAATCTCTGTCCAGAGCCCGGGCTGGGGTCCAGGTGGCACGGGATGCGGCGATCTCTTTTAGGTGGAGGCATTTGTAGGGAGGCCCTTGAGCGAGAGCACACACTCTAGCATTCGCTTCTCCTGGTCTGTTTATGCTCAGGTAATGCTGTTTGAATCATTGAGGGTTTGCTTTGTCTGCCTAAACATTTTTATAGAATTAGTCTGTGATTCTAGACAATATATGTAAGTGAAGAAGAGAGGGTGCCCATAATCTTGGTCAACGTTGTGGTGTGTATCTGTCAAGAACGTACGGGATCGGGGCGCCTGGGTGGCTCAGTTGGTTAAGCGACTGCCTTCGGCTCAGCTCATGATCCTGGAGTCCCGGGATCGAGTCCCGCATCGGGCTCCCTGCTCAGTGGGAAGCCTGCTTCTCCCTCTGACCCTCCCCCCTCTCATGTGCTCTCTCTCTCTCATTCTCTCTGTCTCAAATAAATAAATAAAATCTTAAAAAAAAAAAAAAGTATGGGATCATACTATATGATATGCTTTTTAGTCAGTGAAATTAAATTTAAATTTAGTTTTGCAGCCCATGGGGACATCCCAGCTAGTGTGTGCCTTCCTCAGTTGGACCCCACATCTCCTTCCTGATGGCTGCTCAGCCTTCCTGTGCACCTGTCTCTGAGTTGGAGAGGGGCGATCAGCACCCACCCTGTCCCCCAGTCTCTGGATGAGGCTCATGATGCCTCCTACTTAGCCTCTGCTTGCACGGCTCAGTGGATGGCACACTCACTGCTCCTGGGGCTAGAGCAGCCCGTTGTGTACTGGCCAGGACTGTTAGAAAGCATTCATTTGTGGGGCTGGCAACCTATATACCCATCTCTCCCACCTCAGAGCTTCACCCCTTGGGCTTTTGTAGTAGTCTCTCACCCCTTCCCTAAGACCCTCCTGGGGATACTGGGGACAGACACTCTGCCCTGGGTCTCTCCTTTTTGACCTTCCATGACCTCCTCACGGAGCATGAGTTTGAGCCCCTCCACTACATTGCGTGTCCCTTAGTTGCTGCAGCCTGGGAGAATGTTGATCAGTCAGCTGGGGGATCTTGGCAGAGTCCAGAAGATTTGGTGGTATGTGGGGGGGAAGACGGGCTCGGGATTGTACCTGACCATTAGCAGTGGTGGTGCAGAAGGCGAGTCCAGGAGAACTGTCTACTGGAGGGCAGAACACCTTTCTGGACCTCTGTGTTAAGTTGCCATCTGGGAGGCTAGCATGCAGCAAAAGGGGTGTCTTGGAAGGCAGGCCCAGAGCATACCGGGGGAAGGCTGTCTGCAAATCCAGGCCTTGAGCCATCCAGCTTTGGGAGGCCCGGCAGCTGGGAGAAACAGAAAAAACCCTGGAAGATACAACTCATTCCTTCTTCCCATTTGCAAACGTGCAGGGCCTCCCGGCTATGGTGAATTTCAAGGGCACTCAGGTTTGCATGGCTCCGGTGCGTGCACCACCACCTCCCTACTCACCGCTGCTCAGCGGTGCAGGAGGCAGTCTTGCCAGCACCATTCCACAGGGTAGTCCCACAACACAGGAGGGTGACCTGGCTCCATCTGTTCCCAGGCTGCCTCATGCTGGGGCCTCGGGTCTTATGAGCCTGCAGCAAGGATGACCACCTGGCAGGTGTGCCTCGTGGCTGTGCCTGGCACAGTGGGCTGGCCCCAAGGGCACTGGTCAGGTCCTGGCTTTACCTCCTCTAGATTTGGGGCCAGGGGTCTGTTCTCTGTTTATGGGGTCTGGGTTCAGTCTATCGTTGGGCCCAGGGATTGAGGCCCAGTAAGTGGTCAGAGTATCAGTTCGTTGTTTTTGTTTTTGTTTTTCTTCAAAGAATTATCTTTCAGTTACACAAGGAAGGAAGGTATAAATGTTTCTCTTTTTTTATAAAGTAAGTATCGCAGTTGAGGTTAAGCCCTCAATCTCAGTTTATTCGTGGAGGAAGCCTCTATTATCAGGTCACGTGTGTCCTTCAGACCTTATCAGGGTGCACCCAGAGGCAATGACAGGGGTTTTAATTGTGTATGTGGTCTTTCTGCACTGAATCAGACATGAATTAGGATGTAGCCATGCTCAGAGTAGGTGAGATGAATTCATTCATTCATCTGATTCCTCATTTATTCGCTCAGCATATTGTGTTGAAGTCTGTACCAGCTGCTCTGGGGCTCTGGGGGTGCAGCAGTGAGCAGAAGCAGGCCTATCCCTGCCTTCCTGCCATTTGTAGCCTAGTGGGCGAGGCAGGCACTCATCTGATCATCCCACAAACAAGTATCAGGGAGCAGAGGCAGTGAGCAGACGTTTGCCTGTGAAGAAAGAAGGAACAATTCTTTCTTCCTAGAGGGATCGAAGAATCTGTAGTTAGCAGGACAGCTGGAGTTGGACCTTAAAGGATAATATAATAGCTTCTAGGATGATGTGAGAGATAGCAAACATTCCAAGCAAAGGGATCAGTGTGTGCAGAGATACAGATGAATGACATTTGCAAGGAGTGAGGAATGGCATGCGGCCACAGTCATGGGGGCAGGGTGCTGGACAGGCAGTGAGGGGATCTGTCTGCTCTGCTCAAGTTGTATGCTGAGTATAGAGGAGTTGTTTGGGTGTTGGTGAGCCCTCTGTGGCAGGGGATGCTGAGGGGGGGGGTGTTATTTTTACTCTTGAGTCAGTGGGTACTCGGACTTGTGTGTCAGCTGAAAAGAAAGTACTCGGGAGCAGGCCAGCTTGCTTGGGAAGTGGGAGGAGGCTTGGGGTAGACAATGCCAGCCTTAGGGGAGGCCAGAGCCCAGGGAGGAGGGCCCTGTCAGGAACTGGATAGCAGACTGACCTCTCTGGATGGGATGTGGTGCACTGATAGGACAGCTGCACAGGGAACTGGGGCTGGATGCTTCTGGAAGACCAGGAACTGCAGGAGGCTGCTGATGGTGGGAGTACCTCCTTGCCTGGTGACACAGTTTTCTTCTGAACTTTCAGGGGAGGGCAGACTCCTAACTCCATCAGAGCTGGGAATGGATTCTGAATGCCCCAGCTTTGCAGATAAGGTAAAAGGAGAAAGGAAGCCATCAGCCATGGGTGCTCTTTCTCCATCGAAGACCTGAAGGAGGCCCGACCCCTTTCACTTCAGGCCCTGTAAGATGTTTTGTTGGGATGCTTTAGATGACTCTTCTGGGCCCCTACAGTAAGTGGGTTCATACATCTTCAGTTTCAGGGAACAGGGACCAGACGCCAGGCCTCCTGTCTCCTAGCTGACAAAGTAGGAGGATGTTTTAGGTCTAGAATTCTAAAACCAAGAGGAGCCTTTAGTGTAGGGATCACATGTATCTATAGGGGCCAGAGAGGTAAATTAAGTCAGTAGGACCAGATGGGATATTGAAAATTGATGGAGGGGGGCACAGGCAATCTAATTGCATATAAACAGGTAGAAATCATTTTCACTTCACAAACAAGTTTTTTCTCTTCCAGTTTTCTTAATGTATGTGCCCCTTTCATTCTTTTTTATTTTATCTTATCTTTATTTGAGATAGAGTGAGAGCGAGTGAGAGAGAAGAGGGAGAGAGAGAGCACGAGGTGGGGAGGGGCAGAGGGAGAAGCAGGCTCCCCGCTGAGCAGGGAGCCCGACTCAGGGCTTGATCCCAGGACCCCGGGATCATGACGTGAGCCGAAGGCAGATGCTTAACCAACTGAGCCACCCAGGGGCCCTTTTTTTTTATTTTTAATTTTTTACATTTGATAGAGACCTAGATAGAGACATATTCTGTCTGTTTTGACAAATCCAGAGTCCGCACATGATGCTGTGGGGCCACTTGGCCGTGGTGTCTTGGGGACACCTGGGAATCACTGTCCCTGGTAGAGCAGGGCCACTCCTCAGTCCCAGCTGGTCTTGCCAGCGCTCCCATTCATGAGGAATCTCCCAGCTTTGAAATCGGTGACTCGTTCCTGTTGCTACAAACACATGGGCCATACTGGACACAGCGTGTTTGCAGACTGGACCCAGCCAGTTGGCCTTGGACCCCAGCTTGCCCCCCAGTTTTCCCAGCTGCTGAAGGCCAGAGAAAGAAAGGAACTCTCCTGAGGCCACTAGTGCTGTTCACTGAATAGTATTCAGAAAATTTCATGGCTTCCTTATTCTATGTTTAATTTAAAGCCATTTAAGAAACTACTTAGTCTTACTTATGAGAAGTAACTTGCCACAACTTCTTTCAAGAAATTTTGAAGATGTGCCAATATGTGTATTTGAATTGATCTCCTTATTCTTTCCCCACCAGCATTGGCCCGTGTTTGTAGAGGTTAAAGACCTATTGACGTTGGTGCCATCCCTGGTGGGCCTGAAGGGGAACCTGGAAATGACGTTGGCGTCACGACTCTCCACAGCTGTAAGTAGATATCTGAGTGTCTGGGCCAGCTGCCCCCCAGGGATGGACCCATGGGCACCTCCCAAGCTCCCCTCATATCTTGTTAGCCCGGGGGTTGGACTCTGGAAAAATGAGTGTCATGAGGTTCTGTTCTATCACGATGCTCCGCCTGGTCACTCCTCCCAGTCTGCCATCCTGTTTTTCCATGGCCCAACTGGACTGCTGGCAAGGGCCGGGCCCAGCACTGTGTGCCCTCAGTTTCTCCTCTAACCCAGTGTCAGGTGCTGCTCTGTGTCCCCGAGCCTGGCTCCACACATTCACATAAAAGTTGTAATGAGCAATGCAGACTTCCTGGAGAGTTTGGGAGAGGAAACAGAGGACTTGAATCACCATGGCACCCACCTCTGTTGGAGGACTCTGTTCTCTAGAATGGCTCCTTGAATGCTCCGTCAGCAGAGCAGCTTCTCAGGGTTCTATAGCTCACACTGTCCTCGCCTTGTTACTTGTGGCATCCCTCCCAGCTCTCCTGGGAGCTGAAATTCTCTGTCTTTTATGCATAGTGGTCTCTCCCCTTTGTGAACCAGTGTGTGAACCAGGCCTGTGGCAAGAGGAGGTATGGTACAGGCAAGAGACTGAAAGAAGAGCAGTGTAGCTGGCACAGTGCTGCCCGGAGAGGTGGGTGAAGGGCAGTCAGCCTGACAGTGGCCCTGAAGAGCCACATCCTAATCAGTCGGGCCTGTGCATGGTTCCCTATGTAGACAGGGTCTTTGCAGGTGTGGTTAAGTGAAGGACCTGGGAAATTATCCTGGATTATCCAGGTGGGCCCCAGTGTCATCACAAAGGACAGGGAAGTTTCAGAAGAAAAGGCCATGTGAGGGAAGCCAAGGCAGAGAAGATGCTATGCCATGGATTTGAAGATGGAGGAAGAGCCAGGAAAGGTAGCTCTACCTGCTGGAAAAGGTGAAGAAACAGATTCCTCCCTAGAGCTTCCAGAGGGAGTAAGGCCCTGTTGACACCTTGATTTTTCCCCAGAAGACTCATTTCAGACCCGGCCTCCAGAACTGTAGGAGAATGCATTTCTGTTGTTTTAAGCCATGAAATTTGTGATAATTTGTTACAACAGTAATAGGGAATTAACAGGTAGGACTGGATCATTTACAGACCCGTAAGGACATTGAAATGTTTTATTTTTTTATTTTTATTTTTTTAAGATTTTATTTATTTATTTGAGAGAGAGAGAATGAAAGAGAGAGCACATGAGAGCGGGGAGGGTCAGAGGGAGAAGCAGACTCCCCGCTGAGCAGGGAGCCTGATGTGGGACTCGATCCCAGGACTCCAGGATCATGACCTGAGCCGAAGGCAGTCGCTTAACCGAGCCACCCAGGCACCCCATTGAAATGTTTTAAGCAGCAGATAACATGATACAGACACGCACACGAATGATTACATTGGTCAATGTTTGAGAGGGAAAAAAATGTTGCTTGCAGCCTCTGCTGTGGTGTCATTTCAGGTGTTAGCATTTTTATTTCATAATGTTTAACTACATGTTAAACATTCTCTGCAATGATCAAATCTTCGTTGTAATTTGTTTTAAATACATAAAACATAGAGGGAAAACACACTAGTAGTATAATTCATTACAGGCATCTATCTGTCCAAGGAGAATACCGTCATTATCATCACAGTAGAACCTTTGAAGGCACTCAACACCCATTCTGTATTTTTGTTTAAATCACTGTATTAGGGTATAAGTTAATAAAATAAAAACTCACAAATTTTAAGCATATAGGTCAGTGACTTTTGACAGATCTGTGTCCCCGTGTAACTACCACCCCAGTTGAGATCTAAAACATTTCCATCTCCCCAGAAGATGTCTCCTCGTGCACTCAGCCCAGCCTCTCCCACCACTCTATCCTGGCAACCCTGATCCAGCTCCAGACTCTATAGATAAGTTTTGTTTTCTTTTTTTTTTTTTTTTTTTTTTTTTAGATTTTTTTATTTATTTATTTGAGAGAGAGAGAATGAGAGACAGAGAGCATGAGAGGGGGGAGGGTCAGAGGGAGAAGCAGACTCCCCGCCGAGCAGGGAGCCCGATGCGGGACTCGATCCTGGGACTCCAGGATCATGACCTGAGCCGAAGGCAGTCGCTTAACCAACTGAGCCACCCAGGCGCCCGATAAGTTTTGTTTTCAACACACATTCATGATTTTTAAAAATACTTACTCATAGTGCAACTTGAAATAGAATAATTTTTCTGTATTGTATTTATTTGTTTTATTTACATTGTTTTATTTTAGCTATATTGTTCTGGTTGTTTTAGATATTGTAATAAACCAAGAAAAGGAAGTAAGAGACTTGCATATTGGGAAGGAGGAGAAAAACTCATTATTTGCTATCGACATATTTGCCATCTTGGAAAAATCTAAACAAATCAGCTAGAAAACTGTGAAACTAATAAGCTCAATAAAGTGACCTGGTTTCAAAATTCTAGATGAAATTAAAAAAATATATGTATTGACATACATAAATGTGTATCTATGTACTTGTGTACACACTAGAAATAATCATTTACAAAATACATTCAGAAAAGAGGTATCTTTTAAAACATAAAGTAATTTTAAAACATCTTCAGACTGAAGCCATTGTTTAGGACCTATACAAATAAAACAACAATACTTTACAAAGGGAAATATAAATTTGGAGAGAGATATGAAGTTCCAGAATGGGGAAAGTCAATGTTGTAAAGTTACCAATTTTCCCTGTCTTAGTTTATAAAGTTAATGCAGTTAGTATCAGTGTGCCAAAGGAGTTAGGGGAACAGTTGACAATATTATTTTATTTTATTATTTATTTTTTTTTTTAATTTAATTTAATTTTATTATGTTATGTTAGTCACCATACAGTACATCATTAGTTTTTGATGTAGTGTTCCATGATTCTTTGTTTTCGTGTAGCACTCAAGTGCTCCATGCAATACGTGCCCTCCTTAATACCTATCACCAGGCTAACCCATCCCCCCACCCCCCCCTCTAAAACCCTCAGTTTGTTTCTCAGAATCCATAGTCTCTCATGGTTCATCCGCCCCCTCCGATTCCCCCCCCCTTCATTTTTCCCTTCCTTCTCCTAATGTCCTCCATGCTATTCCTTATGTTCCACAAATAAGTGAAACCATATGATAATTGACTTTCTCTGCTTGACTTATTTCACTTAGCATAATGTTCTCCAGTCCATCCATGTTGATGTAAAAGTTGGGTATTCATCCTTTCTGATGGCTGAGTAATATTCCATTGTATATATGAATCACATCTTCTTTATCCATTCATCTGTTGAAGGGCATCTCGACTCTTTCCACAGTTCGGCTATTGCGGACATTACTTCTGTGAACATTGGGGTACATATGGCCCTTCTTTTCACTACATCTTTTCACTATATTGTCTTTGGGGTAAATACCCAGTAGTGCAATTGCTGGGTCCTAGGGTAGCTCTATTTTTAACTTTTTGAGGAACCTCCACACTGTTTTCCAAAGTGGCTGTACCAACTTGCATTCCCACCAACAGTGTAAGAGGGTTCCCCTTTCTCCATAACCTCTCCAACATTTGTTGTTTCTTCCCTTGTCCATTTTGGCCATTCTAACTGGTGTAAGGTGGTATCTCAGTGTGATTTTGATTTGGATTTCCCTGATGGCTAATGATGATGAACATTTTTTCATGTGTCTGTTAGCCATTTGTATGTCTTCTATGGAGAAATGTCTATTCATGTCTTCTGCCCCTTTCTTGACTGGATTTTTTTGGGTGTTGAGTTTGAGAAGTTCTTTATACATCGTGGATATCAGTCCTTTGTCTGTGGTGTTTGCAAATATCTTCTCCCATTCTGTGGGTTGCCTTTTTGTTTTGTTGACTGTTTTCTTTGCTATGCTTCTTGATGAAGTCCCAAAAGTTCATTTTTGCTTTTGTTTCACTTGCCTTTGGAGATGTATCTTGAAATAAATTGCTGTGGCCAATGTCAAAGAGGTTACTGCCTGTGTTCGCCTCTAGGACTTTGATGGATTCCTGTCTCACATTGAGGTCTTTCATCCATTTTATCTTTCTGTATGGTATTAAAGAATGGTCGAGTTTCCTTCTTCTGTATATAAATATCCAATTTTCCCAGCACCATTTGTTGAAGAGACTGTCTTTTTTCCAATGCATATTTTTTCTTGCTTTGTCAAAGATTATTTGACCATAGAGTTGAGGGTCCATATCTGGGCTCTCTATTCTGTTCCATTGATCTATATGTCTGTTTTTGTGCCAGTACCATGCTGTCATGGTGATCATGGCTTTGTAATATAGTTTGAAATGAGGGAGCATGATGTCCCTAGCTTTGTTTTTCTTTTTCAGCATCTCCTTGGCCATTCGGGGTCTTTTCTGATTCCATACAAATTTTAGGATTGTTTATTCCAGCACTTTGAAAAATATCATTGGAATTTTGATCGGGATGGCATTGAAGGTATAGATTGCTCTGGGTAGCATAGATATTTTAACAATGTTTATTCTTCCGATCCATGAGCATGGAATGTTTTTCCATCTCTTTGTGTCTTCTTCAATTTCTTTCATGAGTGTTCTGTAATTCCTAGAGTATAGCTCCTTTACCTCTTTGGTTCAGTTTATTCCAAAGTATCTTATGGTTATAGGTGCTATTGTAAATGAAATTGATTCCCTAATTTCTCTTTCTACAGTTACATTGTTAGTGTAGAGGAAAGCAACTGATTTCCATGCATTGATTTTGTGTCCTGCCACATCACTGAATTGCTGTATGAGTTCTAGTAATTTGGAGGTGGAGTCTTTTGGATTTTCCACATAAAGTATCATGTCATCTGCAAAAAGAGAGAGCTTGAATTCTTCTTTGCCAATTTGAATACCTTTTATTTCTTTTTGTTGTCTGATTGATGTTGCTAAGACTTCTAGTACTATGTTGAACAGTAGTGGCAAGAGTGGGCATCCTTGTCATGTTCCTGATCTTAAGGGAAAGGCTCTCAGCTTTTC